CGGTAGGGATGAAGAAGAAGAACCTATGAGAGAGGCCGCTGCTACTTGCCAAGAGGCCTCGGAGCCGTTAAAACGGAAATCTCCCGTGTGAATAATAGTTCCAAAGTAATGAGATTTGAAAACAAACATCACCGCGCCCGGGCAGTGATTAGCGGGGATGAGAAATACCGAGAAAACTTTGGGATTCGAGCTCCCACCTATACGACTCCCCACTGCAGTGCATTCACCGAGGTAATCACCATTGGAAAGCGAAAACGCATGTTCCTTTCCGACTTCCAACGCGCAAAGTTGTGAGATGGGAACACCAAATTTCAACTGCACTAGGGCGATCGTTGCCGGGCTGCCGATAATCAACCCATGTTTCCACCCGCGCCCAATCCCAGTGTAGTGATCCGAGTGGAAATGACTAAGAAAATATAGGATGTTAACCTCGGTTTGCCATTCCACAGCCGTACTATTCCCGCTATTCAGATCACAGGACGCTTCCTCTTCCAGGTTGCCTTCAACCCGTTTGATGTCAGGCGACCATTCTCGCTGAAGCCATTTTTTATGCCGCGCGGCGTGCTGGAAGCCATCGACCAGCACACTAAGTGGCTTTTCGCAGTATACTTGACGTGTGCTCAAATAACCTTGGAGAATGTCGTCCGAATCGCTCATTGAGGACTTTTGATTAACCTCAATAACGAGACCAATGATGATAGACGAAAGGGGATCTAGTAAAATGAGAGGGGGTGAGAAAAACACGAACAATGTGATGAATAGGTTTAATACTATCACTTGCACACGTAGGATTATTCTGTCAATTTCATATTGAATCCGTCAAGTATTTGATTTGTGCCTGTAAACACGTAGGAGGGGAAGTGAAAAGGAACGAAACTCATATATTAAAGAATGAAGATTAAAAGTAAGTTTTTATTGAGTAGATGCCCTGAAGTCAATCCTAGTCTTATCCCAGCTGTAGTTACTTGAAGCAAAAAAACAACAATAGTAAACACTTCCCATATTCAATATATCAATATGATTACGTACTTAAAAACGTATTTTACCTTTTTTTTCCCCCGCGTTATCAGCTTCTTCGTAGCGCGCAAAAGTAAGAGAGCAGAGTGCGGAGCTCAAGAGAGATCGCCATATCCCTCCGGTTGTTATTCATCTCATTCAGAATCGACTCAATAGCGAGCTGCAAAGTATCGTCATCATGATTTAGGTTGCCATAACGTGCCCTGAGCGTGGAAGTCTGAATTTTTGGAAAAGGAGTCGCCGTCGGTCTCGGCTTATTAAAATGAAACTGCGATGTATTGTTGTTCACGGCCGGGACATCATAGCAGGAAGCGCTTATCAATTTGCATTGCCAGCTGTCGCTCACTCCACCTTCTTCTTCGAGAGGTTCCTGTTTTTTGCCTTTCAGCGGATAAGGATGCGGGGTTAACGTGGCATCTGACGAAGGCAGAAACTTCTCAACCGAGCCCTGGAAGAAGCTTTTAAGCCCTTTTCTCGAAAAGGAACTGCGATGGCTTTCCAAACCCCCTTCTTTCTCGCAATAGAGCCTTCGCCCGATATGACCCATCTCACGCTGGAGAGTGTGGGACTTCCCGACGCTGTAGACGTGCGTGTTGTTTTGATAAGGCTGCTCGTGTAGATAGCCCGACCAGGATGAGTTTTCGAGCATTTCAGGATCCTGGTGAATCGCCGCGGTGCCGGTTCGCTGAAGGAAGTAGGCGAACGTACTAAAAGACGCCGAGGGCATCTCTTCCGTACGTTTCTCCGGCACAGACGAGACCACCGCGGGATTGCTCTGACTGGAGGAGGGCCGGGAGGGCTCCAAGCCTGCTTCGTAGGAGGTGTCTTTGGTATTCCTTAACCCTTCGGGCTTAGTCTCGTGTTTTGGGTTCCCTCCAATAGGATTCCCTCCGGCGACGCCCTTCTTTATTTCACCAGTCCCGTCGTCGTCGTCGGGGTAGTGTGGTTGATTGCGCTCCTTCGATGGCCCGGCGTGCAAGCCCCGCGGTGAGCATTTCTTTTGAGAGATGGAGTCCCACTGCAGGGATAGATCCAAAGGCGTGGTGGGTTGAAGGGGCGCCTGCGTCGAATGGCTACCCACCCCAGGGGCCTGATTCCCATGGCGCTCTAACTCATGCGTGGGTTCGGTTGTTTTCGCGCACTTGTCCTGCGAGGTCACCTCGGGAAGCTCCAGCGATTCCATGGGCTTGCCACTTCGAGAGCACAAATCCTCCGCGGACGCGTCAGACGCGCGGCCGATATATTGGTTTGAACTCCAGGGCCGTCCAAAGTATACCGTGTCGCTCCCATCCTCCTCCTCGTAGTCTTTTTCGCGGGTTTTCTTCGAATCGTCCGTTGCGGATGCGGGTACAGGCATAGATGAGGTGTGATGTCGGATATCGTCCCAGTAATCTCGGTTGACGTCTTCTTCCAGGAATAATTCCCCCTCGCTCTCGTCCTCCTCGCCAAAGATCGGCCTCGTTTGGGCCATGGTGTCGTGGATGATTTGCAAAAGCAAGTTGATTTGAGAGGTCTTACTCTTTAGTTCTGATTCTGGAATACTGGGGGTGTACATCTGAGTCTCTATCTGATGGATGTTTTGTCCAACAATCATTTGGTATTGAATGAAGAGCTCGTGCCGAGATAGCTCTTCCGCCGTCGGACGCTGCTGGGGGAAGAACGCCAAACAGCTTTGGATCAAGTCTTTCCAGAGCAAGGTTTCCTCCGGGAGTGTCGGCAAAGACCACCGCTGATCCATAAGTCTCTCGAGCTGCGAGGGGCGAACCATGCTGCGCAATAGGTAGGTCTTTGCATTGCCTTCTGGCATGTATTGTAGAATATCTTCTTCTGTTGGAGTGCCCACAATAGAGAGGATGATCTCGAGTTGAGAGCTCGCCATCATACCGTTCCATACGCCATGGCTATCAAGCGCTGTAGGCATTTTAAAAAGGGTCTCGCAGGTGCACATTTCATACAGAATGCACCCCAGCGACCAGATGTCCATGCTCAGTTGGCTAAGAATCGCACTAGTGATGACTTCTGGTGGGCGATAGTTCCGCGTGCAGACGTAAAAAGTATCGCTACTCTGCATATTACGTGCAAGACCAAAATCTGCAACGCACAGAGATGAGTAAAATGGATTTGCCGTGTTCAAACGCACCAGGACGTTGTCAGGCTTTAGATCCCTGTGAACAATACCGCACTTATGCACCCAGTCCAGTCCAAAAATAAGCTGAAATGCAAAAACCGCCGCCACCTGCTTTAAAAAAACCTCGTCAAGTTTGTGTTGTTTTTGTCTTGAGCTCGAGCTCAACAAATTTATAAAGTAAAAGAGGTCACCCCTCATGAGGGGCATCACAATATGTAGACTGAAACCTTCCTCTTTCTTTATCGTTGCGATCTCTTCAGTAATATAATCGTGGTATAATATTGCCTTTTCGTTGTCATCTAACCCTTCATAAATCGGACCCGTCACGTCAAGTTTTAGGGGGTAGGGTTCAGGATTGCTGACTTGTGCAGAGATGCCGCCCTGACATCGCGTTATGAACATCGCAATGAAGTCGATAACGTGAGGATGGGCATTGTGCAAGAATCTCATGATATCTACCTCACGAATCATGCGCTTAGATTCGTGCTGAACAAAGTAGGGAGGAATCGTTTTGATAGCAACCGTCTCGCCTGTAATAAGATCAAGATACTCCTCGACCATCCCAAACCCACCTCTACCAATTTCCCCCATACGTTTATAGCGTCCTACCAAACGATTTGGCATTATGGCAGCGTATTCACAGGAAGGATAAGTATTCTGCGTAATATATACTTCTCTGTGATGATGAGATAAAGGCGTGTACAGCTATGTACTTTAGAATCAAAACATATAACCAAGGCTGACTAGAACCCTCTTTTTTTAATTATATTATATACTCAAAGTGTTCAATGATAATCACAAAGCACTATATCAATCAAGTAATACCGAAAATAATATGGAGTATACTCTTCCGGTTAAAAGACTGAATATTATAACAATACAAAATATGTTATTTGATTTAGCTCAAACCTTGTATAACACAGCGTGTGAGGATTAATAGTATAAAGGTACCTTTGTATGAAGTGGTTCTTTCCTTAAATACAAGCAGGTCACCTTAGGGAGAAAGTAAATATTTGAACAGTTAGTTAGAACGCATAGAAGAATAAATATCATAAAAATTTCATCTCACGAAGTTTTAATATATGTATATATATATATATATATATACATATATAGTATTACACACACATATATATATA